CATGTTCTCCTTTTCAGGTTGCGATGGAGAATCGGATGAGGGCGGCAACAAGAGACGAAGAAGCAGGACTAACTTCAACAGTTGGCAGTTGGAAGAATTGGAACGAGCCTTCCTGTCGAGTCATTATCCTGATGTCTTTATGCGAGAAGCACTGGCTGTGAGACTCGAACTAAAAGAGAGCCGCGTGGCAGTAAGTTTCTTTTTTCAGTCTTTTATTTATTTTGTTGTACATATCGCCGTTTCTTTAATCATATGTAAAAGAAATCAAAATAAGGAAGCTGACATTAGGAGCCTTTGATTCATAAATAAATGAAAAGTATATAGAATAAGTTAATTAGAAAACCTTAGACATTTCGATTAATCACTACGTTTCAACATTCTAGATCGACACGACTAATTTTATTCAATTCTGATTTACTTCGAAATGGAGTGTGAACTTAATCAACTTAGCTAGATTAAACTTTAACAAGATTTCCAGTTTAGTTAAAAGTGCTTAATATTTTTGTATACGGATGAGAAATAAAATTTCAAAATAATATTGAATTATTTGCGGAAATTTGTAATTCGAATATAATGCAAAAAGAAGATAAAAACGGAGAAAGTTAAGGAGGTAAGTAATGAAGAGATGCATCGGTGTCGAAGAAGAGAACGGATGTATGCGCTATTTGCGAGGCCTAACACGCGTGTCTAAGCGAATAAATATAAATATCCGCTTGAAAGACCTAAGGGTAACCGTATGTCCGACCGGCCGTGAAATTGAGAATTCACCCTTCGCGGTCCTGTTGAAGGATTCGGCTGGACTGTATTCGATGAATGCAGGCGTGAATTGTCCGAATACCGGAAGAAGGTCGGACACATCGAAAAGATTTAATGCCGTTTCGCGGAGCCTTAATGACATGTGTCTACACATTGCGATTATAGATTCTTAAAAGATCTGTGATAAGATCTTATTTTACATATATTATCCACTTTTACGCTCGATGTCCTATGTTATTATACCAAGATTTTATTTCCGTGAAAAATTAATCGTGCGTTTAGAATTTAATTTGTTAGTGTTGCAAATATTTATAATCAAAATGTGCTTTTTTATGTTAAATACTACAAAGATTATTTTGGACGATATCGCGTTATATTTCTGGGTAGAATTCTGTTTGTTTCGTATGTTGCATACTTTTTACATATCGCACTCTGTAACTTTAAAAATAACACAACTCAAGAAAGTGAGTTTTGTGTTATTATCACAAAACTCTGAGTTAGGTAAATATTATCCTATCAATCATCTAAAGTTTATTAATTTATTGTTATAAAAAAATCGAAGCCATTAAAAATGCCATTAAAATAATTTAAAAAGATCATCATAATTCAAAAAGGCTGATAACAAAGATGGTTTAAAAATGATTGAAATCGTCGCACTTAAAAAAATGATCTTTAAATATTGTGAGACGAAAATGATAAAAAATGACGTTTCATCATGTTAAGAATACATTTTTTTGCCGATATCATTTGATTAATTAATTAGTCAAGTTAATTAGTCAAGTTGAAAAATAGTTTTTTCTTTTTTTTGGAAAACTTATTTTTTTTAGGTGTGTCACTTTTGAAATATAAATATATAATACGTGTATTAATTAATTTATGTATATCATATTCTGATTCTTTTCTGCGTTATATGACATATAAATTTATAAATAGAGTTTTACCTCGAATTCCAGGAATTATAAAATTCCAGGAATTCTGAAGTGGACTTAAGTTTTTGAAAATACAAACCTTAAGTATTTGTTATGTATAAATAATTGAAAAGGTAAAAAGAAGGAAGATTGGCGAATTTACTCTTACGAAAACATTATTGAAGAACAGTGACATTCCTACTGAAAAAAATCACGTCATACAGTTAGATGTAATTAAAACATGTAAATCACGTAACGGATTATTCCAAATCAGTATGTGATTTTAAAATTACGTATTTTGAAAAATCACATGACGATAATATGTTCTTTCTTCTTCTATCATTCATCCCATTTTTTAAAATTCGATAACTATAACATCACATAATGGATAAAATTATTTGTAATATAATGTGATTTTTCAAATTACATCATTTAAAAAAATCATAAATAAAATCATAAATAAAATCGTACTGATTTGGAACAATTCATTACTTGATTTACATGTTTTAATTACATGATTTCATCATGTTTTGTTGTGACATGATTTTTTTCAGCAAAGATCCTATCGACGCTGATGTTATTTAAATGGACAATCGCTGAACGAATAAATCCGCGTCGATTTTGTACCCTTGAGTAGATCTCCAAAAGTAACGGACCAGATGGACTAACTACCCCCTCGAGACGAAGCTGGTAGGCCAAAGGCCGAATCGAAGCCAGAACCAACCCCCGGTTGTCTGTCGACCCTCGAAAATCTGATCCCGAAGTCATTTTAAATTCGTGTCTATCGCCTCATCGATCTTTGATAGTCGCCGTATACTGAATAAATCTGTGCGAATAAAATCTGCCGTGAGTCGGACCAAATTCGAAGCGGTTCAAGATTTGAGACTAATGTTCTAATGTGTGCGTCAGAGCAAAAAGTGGCAAACAATATACGTAAGAACGTAAAAACTCTTCTTCATGACTTTCGTTCTACTGCTTCTTTTTATATCTATATTTTATTTCATTATTCATAAATCTTAGATTTTTTTCATTCTTTTGTTATGTCTTCTTATTTAGTTTTCATTTCTCTGATCAGGTTTTGTAGTAATTGTATATTGCCAATAAAATCTACTAATTAATGAACTCTCAGAATTCAAACAATGAATTATAACTATGGCAAGTGAGAGTAAATAGGTATCGCAATAAACAGTATGCTATAATTAAAAATATGAAGTATTTAAAATTTATTATTATAATTATGATCAAATCGATCGAATGTTTCGGCTAATTTTCAGCCATTATCAGCCATATCATACTAACAAAAAAGAAATCGTTTAAACTCATACTCAAATTAGAATAAATTTTTCAAATATAATTAACGTCTCTTCTAAATCCATGTTTGAATAGTGCGACCGTTTATTATGATTTTGAACTAGTTTTGAACTAGTGCAATGAGTTAAAGTGAGACAGGTATAATGAAACAAACTATATTTGTTTCACTTTAATTTATTACACCAATGTACACCAATGTACACCAGTTCAGAACTTGAAGTGAGAAAAAACAAACCTTATATATTATAATTCTAGATTGACTAAATGCATCAATATGCGATCGAAAATGAACACATGAAAAAAAATCGATTATTTTTGGCTCGTATGTCACCTGTTACCTGATACATGATCTACAATGGCAATAGCAGTAGTCGATGAGACTATAAGAAATTGATCAATCACAGTCGATTATTCTTCTCACATTCGACTGTGAGTCAATTTCTTACTCTGACAGTTCTACTACTCTATAGATCGCGCATGAAGTTAAAGTTTGCCTGATATAAAAGTTTCATAGTTTATATGAGTAGTATTCAACAGATCCTCATTATTTGAACGATATTGGGTTTGTAAAACTAAAATTGAAAGCTTTAGAAAACAATTTATAATATTAGCTTGAACATAATTCATGTGAATACGTATATACTTAGCAAAGATTTAGAATGGTAAACAGAGCTGTAATTGTATCTTCAGTGTTTGATTTTGGAAGAGATGGTACTGTAATATGTTCGATAGGGACAGATATACGCATTTGAGTGAGATAGAATGATAATGTAAAAAAATTAAATAGTGTTAAAAAGTCTGTATTGATTAAGTTCGATTGTTGCTCCAACATCTTATCATGAATATTAATTTAATGAAAGAATATGCTGTAATAGTTTGCTTACAAATTATGTCAGTGATTGTTACATATTTTGTTAATTTTTTTTACATATAGTATTTGATTATTTGCTAACATATTCATCTTGTATTAAATTAACACAAAAATTTGAATAAACCGTTTAGAACAGGTGAAATTAATATGTTAAACTTAACACAAATTGCGTAAAATTTCAAGTTGTATAACGCATTCAAATTATTGTTATTATTAATAGTTTTCTCGATAAAATATATTTGCGAGAGTGTTCATAGATTTGAGTGCGGATCGATAAACCTTGATCGATTGTCGATCGCGTTTATCTAGTTGTTGCGATATTCTGGAGGAGATGCGTCTGCAGTAGGACATACATTCACGGGGGTTATCGTACACAGTGATCGATGTTATCTAATCTGAGAGTTATTCCCTGTCGTGGGGAAGCACCATCGAAAGGACGCACCGGCTGTGTGACATCATGTCACATTGTGTCACCGCTCAGCCGGGTTATCGTCTCCGTCATCGTGCCGCTCCAGCAAAATCTGATCCGATCCCTCGTCCATGATCGAAGGAGAGATCCGAGAAGTACTCTGGGATCAATATTTCTCGACGCGGGTATTACGAACGATCTCGCGTTATCGCGACGTGGACCCCGTTTCACGTTTATTACGCGCGCGAAATTCGTATGCGCAAGTCGCAGACCGGTCGTAAATAACATCGGGGACACCATGCGTTTTGATTTATCGTGAAAGAGCTCGTGAGCACGACAATCGCTATTATCAAGGTGCTATTTGCATCCGACGACGAGCCACGACGAGTTTTCGCGGGTCGATCTACGGCTGGTGAAACGGCGAGCTTGTAAAATGTTGAACCGATCGTATCTGTCCTGGATGTATCCAGAGGGAGAGTTTGAGGGATTCGAATTTTCTCGAAATTATTTTATTTATTTTTTAATTTTTAATTATAAAAAAAAAACTTTACTTTTGATTCTCCTTATAGATATTATTTAACTTTGAAACAAAATGATTAATTATTTATTCTGAGAAAGGCATTGTTATTCAGTACGTATAATATTCAAAATAAATAATTTCTAGTATTAAATTAGTCAGTATCAATCTGTAAAAGTCTTTTTTATCATTCTATCTTATTTATCATTCCTCTTTTTCTTTTTATTTAATTTTAATGTATCGCCACTACGTTACTTCTCTACAGAAGAATTGTGAGTTTACTATTTCCATAAGGGAGTGCGAATCTGCACACTGTACAGCACATAGAACAATTTTGCAAACGCGGTCGATTTGTATTATATATATAAAAATAATAGGAATAAATTGGGTAACTGAGAGTAATTGAGAGTCAAACGGTAATTGGAACACAATTTGTTTATTATATGCATTCTTCTTAACAATAAGACAGTGTATCAAACAATGTTTCAGAGTCATTCCAAGCCATCTTCAGTGAACAAATGTAAAAATTTATTGTTTCTCAAGCTCCAAATAGGGAAGAAATGAGTGTATCATTCACGCCGGTTGCCAAATTAAGTGGCTTAGATCCTGCTATATGTTCATATGAACTTTTTTTTTCATGTTTTAGTGTTGAGAACTCGACCCCGTTTGTTACTTTATTTTAGTTACATCCCTGTATTGCAAAATATGGATATACGTCTAGATCAACAAAGCGTGATAATATCCATATAAAAATGTCCTCATATAAAAGTTGGATGACTATAGTTACCCTTAGTATACAATGAACTTGCTCGGTGACTATAGTCTCTTAAATAATGAATGTTCGGTTTTTTTTTTTTAGATGATTATTCGTAGTTATCCTTAATAGCGAAAGGAATAATATTTGGTAATACTTTTTCATACAGAAAGTCTTTTTATATCTTTTCTCAATTAAAAAAAATTTCTTTTCATAGGAAAATTATCATGAATATTTTGTATGTAATAGTGATAATATTTACTTTCATTATATCTTTTAAGTTTATATGAATTTAGTAATTTTACATATAGAAAATTATGCTGAATAAAATGGGAAATTTCCTTTTCATTTTATAAGTTTATCATGTATTAAAAAAAAATTTAAGAAAATTTTGAACTTTTTAGTGCTTAAAGTTGTTAAATGCTTAAAGTTTTCTCTATAAAATAGGTTTTTTTAAATAATTCTAAGATTTTTTGTTACTTGATTGTGAGTTATTATGGATTAAATGAAAGAAGTACTTTGATTTTTATTGTTTATATCCTCCATTAAAAATAATCGTATTATAATTAAAAAATAAAGTTTTAAAGCTTTGTTTTATCGGAATGGTATAATTGCCAAATTTTTTTAAAGACATGTTTTAACATACATAAAATGAATGAACTTTTTTATGCTAACATCGTTTTTTTCCATTCAAGATCACGAATGAGAAGAAGATATTGTAAGCTTGAAAAAAGTATTTGAAAAACATTTCATTAACGTAAAGATTCCTGTTTATGTAATACAACTGAATTGATAAGAACTCCCCTCGAAGAAAGTTCTGGATACGCCCATCATTTCTACTACCCATGATTTCTACTACACATGACGCGATTATTCTACGATTTTATATTATATATTACGAGTTATTATTTACAGAGTGTTATTATTTGCGATTAGCAGCAGAGCTTGGTTTACAAAATCGTTATTTTTTTAATAGAAAGAGAGAGAGAGATAATGCAATTAATTAGACAATATTTGAAACAATTATTTGACTTCCTTCTGCACACATTTACTTCTTGCATTTTTCTAACTCATTTTATATAAAGTATCAACCGATTAAGTGCTTCCCATTGTGATAAGAACAAGAAGTCCATAAGGCGAAGGGTTAATTATAGTATACAACAATTTAATCAGTCAAATGACAGCACTTTTATCGGGCGTGGAAAACATCGTTTATTAATTGACGGAAACATAATTACATTAGAATGCATTATCTTTCCCGACAAACTCTGTATGAACGATTATGGTTATCGGCGACGATGTCGCTTCTTCGAGTTTTTGCTGCCATAAAGATACGCTTTATGCATGTCAAGCCAGTTGTGCGCTTACAATGTAAGTATCTTCTCGACGATGCTCACATGCTGCTGCACGAGAAGAAAAACTGTGTTATTTAGTCCGACGGAACATGAGATCAGTCTCTCTTAAGATAGAAATAGCTTGTTAAATCGCTATCGGTTGATAATTCCTGACGAATAGCCGCACTAATGCCTGACTCGTATTTCCCACGTATCGTGTTAATATAATGTGTTACAGCTGTGCCTGATTCTGAACTGAGACATGCAGGACGCCTCGTGAAGTTTGCGGTTAAGGTTTTGGAGCGATATTCCTCGACGAATTCGAGAATGATCTTTTCTATCGGTATCTTTCTATCGGGAAATTTATTGAACGCCATTTCCATCTACAATTTTGGAATTTTCAATATTGAATCTGTTTTTGAATCTGTTTTTTGCTCTTGATTGTGTTTTCAAAATAAAATCTATAGTATTCTTTTTTATTAGATTTTTTTCTTCTAATTGGAAGTAAAGTTACGATGATTTAATAAAAAAATTTCTTTGATACTCGATGGTATCATGAATTACCGTTTTTCTGCAGATTACGGTATTAAATAATGAAATAAGTAATGAAAATTAGAACTGCCAGGTTGGAGTTATCGACATAAAATGCAACGACACCCAGATATTATCGGACTGAAAATTACTTTATTAACTGTAGTAGGAATTTAACCCTGTAAGAATCGTGCAGCTGAGCTATGTCGATTAGATGTATGCATAGCCAAAGATCCTTTACGTTGATTTTTAAGGATATTAAAAAAAAGTATTAATTTTTTAGAATAAATATATTTATATAATAACAATTAAACTTTATTTTATTTGTACATGTGTAGAGTGAATCACAAGCATGTTTTAAAACTTTATAAGAGTGGATTAAAAGGAAGAAATTCTTGGATAAAAAGGAAGAATATTCCTACGAACATTAGATCGTAAATGCTTTGTTGTCGAAACAATAGACACAAATAGTATGAGTATTTATGACTCACTTTATCACATATCTTTCAAAACAAGTAAATAACAAAACATAAATATTTACAAAATAATTTTAAGAATATGATTCAAGCTTAATACATCTCGAATACAGAAATCGATAACACGTAGGTTAGATTTTTAAATATTACTTATTTTTCTGAGGTTAAACACAGTAGAGTTCGTGCTGAAAATCGTAAAGCTAGAAAATTAAATAGCGTAAGCGCGTGCGATGGATTCTAAATAGACCCGTCGAAGTAATCGAATTAATTACGATCGCCTGAAGTTTAATCGCGAATAACGAGGACTCGTGGATAGCGACGGGAAGTAGAGACAAACGAGCGCTTTGGGCTCGTTTGGGGGTTCGTAAAGTATCCTGGAGTCGAAGAAAGTTTCATAAAGCTACGTGACGCGAGAAAGGTGTTTCAGGGAGTCGCGAGGGGATCTATTGATCTTCGGCTCGCGTGAGTTCAGCGCCGCTCGCCGGCAGGGCGGTACAACTAATGTCTTCATCTTTCCCCTCACAGCCACCCCTCTTCCGCCTCGCGAGAGAGAGAGAGAGAGAGAGAGAGAGAGAGAGAGAGAGAGAGAGAGAGAGAGAGAGA